ACACTAAAGTTTATATTTTATCTATCCGAACCGGCTATTAATGAAGTTTTGCGTTGTTTGCAAATAAAAGGTGGTAAAGGGTGCTTCTTGAAGCTGTTTATTCTTATTTGAAACCTAAATGTACTCATTATTCTTATATTTTGATTTAAGATGAAAATGGATACGTTAAATACAAAATGAAGCTAATTGGACTGTTTTGACATCGTTTCGTTATCTTGGCATAACTCTCTCATCCGAGCTCCGATTGAGAAGATTCAAGATTCTATGGAATGATAAGAAGGAGCTATAAAACTTTCATGTTTTGCGTTTTGAGATATATTGACTGCATCAAGGTCTAAATCGGGATTGAAGTTGCAGCCAGTGCACTATTCATGCTAATTGGCTGTTTTGATATCACTTTGTTATCTGGGCATACCTCTCTCATCCGAGCTCCGATTGAGATGATTCAAGATGCTATGGAATGCTAAGAAAGAGCTCTACAACTTGTATGTTTTGAGTTGTGAGAGATATGGACTGCATCAAGGTCAAAATTGCGCTTGAAATTACAGTTAGTGCATTATTCACGTGCACTGTTCACGTCCTGTTTCATCCTTTTTCCATTTCCAATCTATTCCTAAGCCAACCAAATCCATCACAAACCTCTCCAACACATATTTCTATACCAAACCTATTCAATACAAGTTCTAGGACCTAAAATTTCATATTTTTACTTATTAAAACCAAATTTCTACTATTATTTCCGCTAACATTTTAAATCTCTAATTTTTCAATCTACTAAACTCAAATACACATCATTACATATATCCACATTTTTATCATAATTATTTACTATATATCTATATACATATATAAAAAAAATGCGGGGTATTACAATCCACCCCCCTTAAAGAAAGTTTCGTCCTCGAAACTTACCTCAAGTAGCGAACAAATATGGATACTTCTCCTGCATTTCTTGCTCCAGTTCCCATGTAGCTTCCTCCGTTCCATAGTGTTGCCACAAAACCTTCACCAATTTGATAACTTTGTTGCGAAGCACTTTTTCTTGGGCGTCAAGAATTTCTACCAATTGTTCTTCGTAAGTTGCTCCGTCTTGAATTTCAACCTCCTCCAAGTTCACGACTGGAGTTGCATCCGAGTGACACCTTCTCAACATGGACACATGGAACACATTATGTACTCCGGATAGCTGGGCTGGTAGTCGAAGTTGATATGCCACCTTGCCTACCGCTTTGATTACCTCAAACGATCCGGTATATCTTGGCGCTAACTTCCCTTTCTTGCCGAATCGAAACACGCCCTTTTTGGGTAACACCTTGAGAAATACATAGTCTCCCACCTTGAATTCTAATGGTCTTCGTTTGTGGTCCGCATAGCTCTTCTGTTTACTTTGCGCCGTCCATAGCCTCTCTCAGATGAGTTGAATCTTCTCTGTAGTTTCTCGAACAATGTCCGGTCCAAAAAAACTACTCTCGCCAGCTTCCAACCAACACGTCGGTGATCGGCATGGTCTTCCATACAATGCTTCATATGGTGTCATCCCAATACTTTCCTGATAACTGTTGTTGTAAGCAAACTCCACCAACGGTAAGTGGTCGCTCCAACTCCCCTTGAAGTCCAACGCGCAAGCGCGTAACATATCCTCCACAATCTGTATCACCCTCTCGGATTGGGCATCCGTTTGGGGATAAAAAGTCGTACTGAAGCGTAACTCCGTCCCCATCGCTTGTTGTAGACTCTACCAGAATCTCGCCACAAACCTAGAGTCACGATCCAACACAATCGAGAGCGGAACGCCGTGTAACCTCACTATCTCACGGATATACAATTGGCTCAAAGTCTCGAATGTATCCGTGCTCTTCATACCCAAAAAATGAGAGGACTTGGTGAGTTTATCTACAATGACCCACACTGCATTATGCCCGCGCGACGTCCGTGGTAAACCCGACACGAAGTCCATGGTGATGTGATCCCATTTCTACTTTGGAATAGACAAAGACTATAGGACTTGTCCTGGTCTTTGATGCTCAATATTCACCTGCTGACACACTGCACATTTTGCCACATATTTGGCCACATCTCGTTTCATTCCCCTCCACTAGTATTGACGCTTCATGTCCTAATACATCTTTGTGCTACCGGGGTGGATAGCAAACTTGGAGCGATGACACTCTCCTAATATCTCCTCATTTAGGGACGAAATATCGGGAACATGTAGCTTCTCCCCATATCTCAACTCTCCATTCTTCTAAGACCATCCTTCAATCGCTTCTTCATTCTCCAATCGGGTTCTAATCCAATTGAGTTCCGAATCCAGACATTGTAACTCCACTACTCGTCGCCGAAGCGTCGGTTGAGCTACGAGGTTGAATAGATATGATCGATACTCTGGTCCATCCACCCATAGATCGTACTCCTCCAATGCATCAATCATTTTCCACCTATTTATCGCAAGAAAATTGATTTCACCCTGAGACTTCCTACTAGAAGCATCAGCAACTACATGGGCCTTCCCCGGATGGTAGTTGAGCGTGAACTCATAATCTTCCAAGCACTCAATCCACCTTCTCTGCCGGAGATTCAAAGTCTTTCTGTGTGAAGATATACTTGAGGCTTTTATGGTCCGAGAACACTTGAAATTTCTCCCCGTATAAATAACATCTCCATAACTTAAGAACAAACACCATCGCAGCCAGCTCCAATTCGTGTGTGGGATAATTCTGCTCATGCACCTTTGAGTTGTCTTGAGACTTCCTACTAGAAGTATCAGCAACTACATGGGCCTTCCCCGGATGGTAGTTGAGCGTGAACTCATAATCTTCCAAGCACTCAATCCACCTTCTCTGCCGGAGATTCAAAGTCTTTCTGTGTGAAGATATACTTGAGGCTTTTATGGTCCGAGAACACTTGAAATTTCTCCCCGTATAAATAACATCTCCATAACTTAAGAACAAACACCATCGCAGCCAGCTCCAATTCGTGTGTGGGATAATTCTGCTCATGCACCTTGAGTTGTCTTGAGTCATAAGTCACTACCTTCCCTCCATGCATTAGAACGCATCCCCAAGCCTCGTAGTGAAGCATCGGTGTAGACATCGTAGCCTTCCCCACTGCTCGGAATAATGAGGATAGGTGCCGTCGTAGCCTTCTCCTTAAAGGTGCGAAAAGCTAGTTCATACGCTTGAGTCCACAAAAATTTCGCCCCCTTCTTTATAAGGCGAGTCATCGGAACACTAAAGTTTCTATATTTTACCCATCCGAACCGGCTATTAATGAAGTTTTACATTGTTTGCAAATAAAATGTGATAAAGAGTGCTTCTTGAAGCCTTTTATACTTATTTGAAGCATAAATGTACTCATTATTCTTATATTTTGATTTAAGATGCAAATGCAGACGTTAAATGCAAAACGAAGCTAATTGAATTATTTTGACATCGCTTTGTTATCTGGGCATAACTCTCTCATCCGAGCTTCGATTAAAATGATTCAAGATGCTATGGAATGATAAAAAAGAGCTATAAAACTTTCATGTTTTGAGTTTTGAGAGATATTGACTGCATCAAGGTCTAAATCGGGCTTAAAGTTGCAGCCAGTGCACTGTTCAAGCTAATTGGACTGTTTTGACATCACTTCGTTATCTGGACAAAACTCTCTCATCCGAGCTCCGATTGAGATGATTCAAGATGCTATGGAATGCTAAGAAAGAGCTCTACAACTTGTATATTTTGAGTTGTGAGAGATATTGACTGCATCAAAGTCAAAATTGCGCTTGAAGTTGCAGCCAGTGCACTGTTTCACGTGCACTGTTTCATCTTTTTTTTTTTCATTTTCAATCCATTTCTAAGCCAACCAAATTCATCACAAACCTCTCCGACACATATTTATACACCAAACCTATTTAATACAAGTTCTAGAACCTAAAGTTTCATATTTTCACTTATTAAAACTAAATTTTAACTATTATTTTCACTAACATTTTAAATCTCTACTTTTTAATCTACCAAATTCAAACACACATCACTACACATATCCACATTTTTACCACAATTATTTACTATATATCTATATACATGTATAAAATAAAATGCAGGGTATTACAAACGCCAACCCTTTAATATATTCTCTTTTGTGTCTTCCTACTCAATACTTTAAAACACAAGCCTAAAAAATTACATAATCCCAACCTCTTTTTCTAAAAAATAATATTACATAAATTTAATAAATAGACTTGATAATCTTAACTATTGATTTCACCGTAGATTCCAGTATTTATTGGAACCCACTACTTATTCAATGGTTAAAATTATCAAGTCTAATTTTTAAATCTATCTACCGTTACTCTTCTCTAAATCTGGCGGCCCTCAACCTCTTCCCAAACTCACCCCTCGTAGCAAACTCCAGCAGCCCACCACCTCTATCCCCAACGCCGGCAATAGGCAGCCCCTTTTCTTCGTACCCAACAAGGTTACTTTTAACCTCACATATATTGAACTAGCAACACCATCCCCAGAAGTCCACTAGCGACAAACACCAATGCTACCCACCAATTCCTTATCAACATTGCTGCCATCGGCTCCGAAAGACCATCTCCAGACACCAACCAACCAAAGAAAAAAATTATGTGCGGAAAAAGAAAAAGAGAATACGCTGTTGTGAATGCTTCAATCATTCCCAACCTTCATCGCCGCTGTCAATGTAGCACAGCTACCCCCAATTAAACTTTGATTCCCCCAATCCAGCACCCAACCTTCAGTAGACTTTGATTCCACCCAATCCACTCCGATCCGATCAAAATCCCAAAAAAAAAGATGTGAACTAACTCTGATTCAACCACAACTTGGAGCAGAGCTCCAGCGGAAGAGCAAAAAGTGCAAATGTAACGGTTCATATACATTTTTCGTTTGGTCATTACAAATCGCAGATGGTCTCCTCTGATGGGAGGGGTGAGGCTTTTTGTTAGGAAGGGGATTGGCTAGACTATTGGGCGACAGTGGTTAGGTTTGATGGAGTGGGAGGAAGGGGACGAAGGTCAGGGAGGGAGATGGGTTATCGAAGGGTTGTTGCCCAAAGGGGGATTTGAGGGGAAGGGATCTGGGACCTAACGGGCTTGTGGGAATAGGATCGTATAGGAGATGATATAATTTTTAATTTGTTTTTGTTAGAAAATAAGGGATCAAAAGGGTAAATATGTCTTTTAATGAAATTTAAGCTCAAGTGGTCAACTTCTGTCCATGTTTTTTCTGTAAGAGTTAAAGGCAATGGGTTAATTAATGTAATTATAAACTTAAGGGGCAAATTATTTAAATTAAAACCACAAGGAGGTGATTGTAACATGACTTATACTTGGAGGGGTATTTTGTAATTAACCCAATTTTTTAGTTATAAAATAACCCACAAAAGTTATAAAAATACCTATTGAAGTAATAAATTTTAAAGGTACGGTACTGAATTTTTTTTAAATATACCGCAGTCAAATCACTAGAAATAAGAAAGTTCATGTAAAACAATAAATTTAATAAACAATTGAGTTTACTCAAAATTAACAATTATAAAGTTTAAGATTATGAGCAATGTTATGTGCACCAAATCACTTGTTAGATTAATGAGTTGATTTAAAGACCGTAGTTGATTTAATGCAAGTTTTGGTGTACAAATTTGGTACATAAAAGAATTACCCATTTATATATTGTGAAGATCAAGATTATAACAAGTAGTTAGGAAAACAACAAGCGAGCCAAAGAACAACCTGTACAAAATAAATTATGAGCAAGAGAATTGAAATTTTAGAATTTGATTAAATTGCTTGACCAACTGATATGATAGTTGACACGTTTTAATAATATTTTTTAATTGCAACCATTAAACTTTTTTATTGGGACCATATAACCTGCCCCAACTTTGGAAAGCTTCGAATTGAAATTGACTTTAGATGATGGAAAAATATTAATAAAACTAATGAATTTGTCGTGAATACATTGGCAGTTATGAGCCCAAAAAAAACTTATTTTCCAATTATGTTTTTATTAATTAATATGATATTTAGAGTTGATTAAAATTATTTATTAGTTATGAGGGATCAAAACCAGAAAATAAAACTTATTGCGTATTTGTATGGAATTATCTTTGCAAATGTAGGACTTGTCAATTCATCAAAAAAAATTATATAACTTATCAACCATCTTGAATGAAACAAAGTACAACACTGGTAGTGCATTTCTAATATTACATAGCTATAACTATGGTGCAAGTGGAACATTGGAGACTAGAATGATGTAAAACAGATATTTCTCTCTTTACAATATAACTTATACTACTTGTTTTCGTTCTTCAATTCATGAATTGAGTTTTGTAAGGCCTTCAATTTTACAGTCTCTGATATTTTTTCATATTCATCTTTCATTGTCTTCAGGGATTTAATCGACGCTTCAAGGCTGTCAGCAAAGTCCTTGACCAAATCATGGAGGTAATTATCAATGAGCATGAACAAGAAGCTAGCAGAGGGCTTCAAAATCGGGACAAGGACTTCATTGACGTAATGCTATCATTGATGAACAAGTCCACCAACACTCTTGATCAGTTATCATACACAATTGATCGAAACAACATCAAAGCTATCATACTAGATATGATCGCGGGAACCATTGATACTTCCCATACTGCCATTGAATGGATTCTATCAGAACTGATTATGCACCCGAGGGTGATGAAAAGACTCCAAGAAGAGCTAATGAGTATTGTAGAAGGGACTCGAATGCTTGAGGAGACAGACCTGAATAAGTTGGAATACTTGGACATGGTGGTTAAGGAGAGTTTGAGACTTCATCCAGTGGCACCATTATTGATTCCTCATGAGTCCATGGAGGACATAGTGATCGACGAATATGACATCTCCAAGGGGTCACGTATTATAGTGAATTCTTGGGCGTTAGGGCGAGACCCCAAAGTGTGGTCGGAAAATGTGGAAGAGTTCCTCCCAGAGAGATTTGTCGGCAACAATATTGACCTACGAGGGCATGATTTTCAACTCATACCATTTGGTGCAGGGCGAAGAGGCTGTCCTGGGATGCATTTGGGGTTAATCAACATAAGATTGGTGGTGGCACAGTTAGTGCATTGCTTCAACTGGGAGTTACCTAATGGCATGTCACCTAGAGAGTTGGATATGAGGGAAAGATTTGGTCTAACGACGCCAAGACTGAAACCCTTGCTCACTTTGCCAACTTATCGTCTGCATTAATCAATCTCAGAATAGTTTTCTTGAACACTCGCCTCTTCCCTTCCCCCTTCCCCCTTCCCCTTCCAAAAAAAAAAAAAACTCTTTTTTTATATATATATATTTTATGGTGCATATGTAGTCTATTATTGAAAAAAAAATAAAAATATGTAGTCTTTTATTATACCTGGATGTCAACACTGTCTTGGTTATATGGACATAGTTAAATAATTTGACAGACTGATAAAATAAAATGTTGTACTTGGACCATGAGTTTTTTGTTTATGGCGGAGTCAGAGAGTGTAAGTAGAATACAATCTTAATTACTTTTATTTTTCTGTAGATAGAATCTGGGACTCGAATGCATGATATATTGGTTGAATGAAGGATGAAGCTAGAATTTTGTCCTAATAGAGTCTAAACAATAGTATTGTTAGTAATTTTATTCAATTGGATTATTATAACGTGAGTGACAAAAATTTGGTTACATAGAACTTATGAAAATCAATTTTCATAAGATATTATTGTACAAATTATTTTGGGTCATATATTCTAAAAATTGAATCTGGCTTAACATCGTAAAATTTAGCTTGTAATGATGTCACCGTCCACTTATTCCCATATATATGATAATGTCTATAATTAAATTATGATCACACATACTAGTTTCACGATATTACAGTAAGAATGAATCGAGTCAATGCATTGTTATTGATAAAAAATAACCCAATTTTGTAATAATTCAACAAAAATTTGTTCATCAAACTCATCTTACCAAGTATTTTTCGTTTGTAGAGTAATATTCATCCACGTAGTTGCATCTGTCATCTAGTTGTTAAATGTCAAGTCATTAAGATTTTTTAGCCAAATGAAATACCTTGTATGTAGGATTTTTTGAAAATCTAAAAGACAATATATCATTTTAAAAATTTAGGAGGCTTATAAAGAATTTATAAAAATGTGAGGGGCCAATGCGATTTCTAAAATAATTAATTTTATGTTGTGAAATTGACAAAATATTAACAAAATAGAAAAAAAGTAATGCACAAAATATATTTAAAATAAGTCTTTTAGGAATTTAATATATCTATGTGTTGATCTTCAAGATCACATTAATCTTTTCTTCTCTATTCATTTTTTTTTTCATTACACCACTACAACAAAAAACATTTTAAGCGACGATTTTATTATTTTGTCACAAATACTTATTTTAGTAAATTTTTTTGTAGAAGGGAGTCGTGAAATGACAATTCCTTCCCAATTTTTTATAACAATTTTTTTTTGTTACAANCTATTATTGAAAAAAAAATAAAAATATGTAGTCTTTTATTATACCTGGATGTCAACACTGTCTTGGTTATATGGACATAGTTAAATAATTTGACAGACTGATAAAATAAAATGTTGTACTTGGACCATGAGTTTTTTGTTTATGGCGGAGTCAGAGAGTGTAAGTAGAATACAATCTTAATTACTTTTATTTTTCTGTAGATAGAATCTGGGACTCGAATGCATGATATATTGGTTGAATGAAGGATGAAGCTAGAATTTTGTCCTAATAGAGTCTAAACAATAGTATTGTTAGTAATTTTATTCAATTGGATTATTATAACGTGAGTGACAAAAATTTGGTTACATAGAACTTATGAAAATCAATTTTCATAAGATATTATTGTACAAATTATTTTGGGTCATATATTCTAAAAATTGAATCTGGCTTAACATCGTAAAATTTAGCTTGTAATGATGTCACCGTCCACTTATTCCCATATATATGATAATGTCTATAATTAAATTATGATCACACATACTAGTTTCACGATATTACAGTAAGAATGAATCGAGTCAATGCATTGTTATTGATAAAAAATAACCCAATTTTGTAATAATTCAACAAAAATTTGTTCATCAAACTCATCTTACCAAGTATTTTTCGTTTGTAGAGTAATATTCATCCACGTAGTTGCATCTGTCATCTAGTTGTTAAATGTCAAGTCATTAAGATTTTTTAGCCAAATGAAATACCTTGTATGTAGGATTTTTTGAAAATCTAAAAGACAATATATCATTTTAAAAATTTAGGAGGCTTATAAAGAATTTATAAAAATGTGAGGGGCCAATGCGATTTCTAAAATAATTAATTTTATGTTGTGAAATTGACAAAATATTAACAAAATAGAAAAAAAGTAATGCACAAAATATATTTAAAATAAGTCTTTTAGGAATTTAATATATCTATGTGTTGATCTTCAAGATCACATTAATCTTTTCTTCTCTATTCATTTTTTTTTTCATTACACCACTACAACAAAAAACATTTTAAGCGACGATTTTATTATTTTGTCACAAATACTTATTTTAGTAAATTTTTTTGTAGAAGGGAGTCGTGAAATGACAATTCCTTCCCAATTTTTTATAACAATTTTTTTTTGTTACAAATAATAATAAATCATCTGCAAAATAAATAATAAAAATTTAAAATAAAAATATTTAGTTGTGACATTTTTATGTTTATCGAAGAATGCAAATTTTGGTTTTGTAGACAAAACCAAAACAAAAATAAAATAAAAATAATAATTCATGACGATTTTTATTTACGTTGCAATAAGAGGAGTTAATCGAGACGAGCTACTCGAGCTCAGCTCAAATAAAATTTGGCCTGAGCTTAACTCGTGTATTAAACGAGTTAAGGTTGAACAATTTTTAAAACTTGTTTAGAGAAATGAGCCGAAAAAGACTTGGATCAAGCTCATAAAGTTCGGCTCGGTTATATGTAAAATAATCGAGCTATTTGAGCTCAAGCTCAGCTCGAGTTCTAAAAGAGTAAAACTTAAATAATTTTTTAAACTCGTTTAGATAAATAAGCTTATTACGCTCTGGCTTAAGCTCATAAAACTCGACTCAATTAATACCCCTAGTAGCAATAAAATTGTTCAAAATTTTTTATCGTGACGTTTTTCTTTTTGTCCTATTTCTTATGTAGTTTCAATTTCTTACCTTAAAATCGTGTATTTATAATTTCTTACCTTAACTGATTTGAGTTTTGCGAGTTGCGAATCTGATATTTCATTATAACTTGCAAGTGTGATTAAGTCTCCAACCCTAATTTGCAATCACTGCTCTATGATTTAACCAAATTGCATTTTTTTTTTGTCTTTTCAAGCCATAACTTTCGGCTTTGATTCAAGTTTTTGCGACTCTTAGGGTTATGAAAGTCTCAATTTACAATTGATTGAATATTTTTCTAATGAGTTTGTCAAATGTGTCATTAATTTTGAGTTTGCCAGTTGCATTGGTTTTATTGAAGAAATTTATCACGGGTTTGCAGTTTTACATATGTGAACAATTGAACATTGTAGAATCTATTACTTTGATAATAGATTCTACAAGAATTTATTACCAAAATATGGCACATTTAAAAAAAAAAGCAGCAATCTACGATACTTTTGAATTTATTTACTGATGTACTGCACTTTTTTTAAAATCTAATCAACAATTACGACTTCAATAGAAAACAGTATCAACAAATCCACTTTTAGAGGCCATCAACCCTTTAAAGCGTATTTGTGGAAGCCGCTTTCATTTGAATAAGCGTATTCTAAAAATGCGCTTTCAAGGTAAAAAATGGGTTCTCCAAGTCCACTTTATCTAATGAAGAGGATATAATGAATCCGCTTTTAGTCAAATATTTGAACCCCAAACAGAGACCTCATTTCCAGTATTTCTTTCAGTTGACCTCTCTCCTCTCTGTGGAAACACAGATCATATTCGAAGCCTTCTCTATCTTCTCTCTTCAGTGCTTCTTCTCTCTTCTCTCTTCTCTCTTCTCTCTTCTCTTTGCTTTCCATCCCTTAAGCTGAGCCCTTAAATTGCACACCCTAATTAGGGAATCCAAACTGTATCCCTAACCTTGTTCGAAGAAGGCAATTGAAGTAGTCTGCGAGATTCGGCTGTGAGATTTTCCTATGGTTCTTCTATGCCCTAATTCCACTTATTATATTCGTTTTAGGCCTTAGCATAGTCATTGATTTGTCAAATTCTGTAGTCGACTGGTACACACTTGTCGGCTAGCTCTAGAGGAAGGAGAAGATAGGGCTTCACATGATAAACAGAAGGGCCTTCTATTTAACCAGGTACGCTACTCTTCACTCTGTAATTCAAAAAATCCCCAATTTTAGAAATATTTCAATCCCCATTACTGCTTCTCAAAGTTTTCAATTGGTTGAGTAACTTGAATTGCATCCTTGCTTCATAAATTTACATTGTGAAGATATTATGAGTTACAGTTTGAATACATGCAATATATTTTGAATACAATTTATCCTACATGAATTATGAATAGAATTTGAGTACATGAATTATCGCACATGCTTTATTCCATAATGTTGTAATTCAAAAGTAATATCAATTGCATGAAGTGGGTAAGTTTGGTTAAAGAAGAATGAAGTCTTATTCATGAATTTTATGGTACATATTTTTTTGAATGTGATTCCACGGTTTTAGTTAATTAATGGAACATAATTATTAAAACAATATCGTTAGAATCGAGTTTTCTATTGTACAACATGATATTCAATATGTAAACTTCCAAGTCTCTATGTTTCATTTTTGTTCTAGGCAATATGAAACTTATTGGTTTCAACACGAGGACAACATGAAGTTTACCAGGAAGAGCTTCAATTCGTTTCAAAACTATTTATGTCAGCACTCAGCATACTTGGTGAATGCTAACATTAATTTATTTGGAAACCTTAGGTTCTTTTGAAAGTTCAGGTGTTTGCATGAGTGGTGTTTCACAAGACCATGTAAATATGCAACAGAGGTGCCAAGGGAAGGAAAATTTAGAACTTAATTTTAGTCGTGACAAGAACAAGCTTTGGAGTTAGAAGTTTGCGAGAGAGTAGGTGGCTGTATGGTTCTAAAA